ACTTTCAACCCGGAACAATATACCCAGAAAAACTTTCATTCAAATTTAATGGAGAAACAAGATACTTCCATGAAAAAGAACAAATGAAGAAAATTATGTCCACCGAACCACCACTAGAAAGCGATTGAAAGACATATTGATAGAGATAAAATTGACCACAACCTCCAGAACAACAACAGAAAGAAACCACCAGGTAAGACAAGCAGTTAAAAAGGGGGGGAAAGCAGAAAGCAAACCAATAGAACATAACATGGCAAAGTCGAGCCAGTACCTATCAGTTATATCTATAAATGTAAATGGCCTCAATTCACCTATCAAAAGAACTAGGTTGACAGAATGGAGTAAGAAACATGATCCCACAATATGCTGTATACAAGAAACACATCTGACCCAAAAGGAAACTCACAGATTAAAAGTCAAAGGATGGAAAACAGTATTCTATGAAACAGGAACCCCCCCCCAAAAAAAGTAGGGGTAACTATTCTATTTGCAGACAATGTGAACTTCAAACCTAAAATGATTTAAAGAGATAAAGAAGGTCATTACATACTCAGTGGAAAACTTCAAGTGGAAGAACTAACAATTATACATATATATGACCAAATACAGGAGCAACCAACTATATAAGACAAATACTAATAGACATGAAAAGCCAAATACACAAGAACACAATAGTAACAGGGGATCTTAACCCCCAACTATCACAAAGAGATAGATCAACTAGACAAAAAGTCAGCAAAGATATAATAGAACTAAATCACACCTGTGAGCAATTGGATTTAGTAGATGTTTACAGAGTGTTCCACCCAATCACATCAGAATACACATTCTTCTTAGCTGCACATGGGACATTCTCCAAAATAGACCATATCTTTCAAAAAAAACATTCTTAAGTAAATGCAAAGGTACTGAAATGATCCCATGCGTAATATCTAATCATAACGCACTGAAATTGGAAATTAATGGCAATAAAATTTCAAACCCTGCATAAATACATGGAACTTAAATAACAACCTTCTGAACAACAAGTGGGCTACAGACGAAATTGAAAAACAATTCACTGAAAATGTGGAAACAACATTCTGTAATATGTAGGATGCAATCAAAGAGGTCTTAAGAGCAAAATATATAGCAATAAATTGTCAAATTAAGAAAACAGAATGAGCACAAATATACAACCTAATGCTTCATATCACGCTTCTAGAAAAAGAAGAGCAAGTTAATCCAAAGCTCATAGAAGAAAGAAAATTGTAAAGATTAGAGCAGAAATCAATGCAATTAAAACTAAAATAAAGAAAGAAAGAATTAATGAATCTAAAAGCTGGTTTTTTTGAGAGAATAAACAAAACTGACAAACTTCTAGCTAACAAAATCAGGAAAAAGAAAGAAAAAAAAAACCCAAATTCACACAATAAGGACTAAAAAGAGTGAAATTACTACAGATCACATGGAAATTCAAAAGATCATGAATACCTACTTTGAAAATGTCAGCGTGCATAGCATGGAAAACACAAATAGACATATTTCTAAAAACATACAAACTACAAAAGCTCAATCAAACACATATAGCAATTTTGAATAACCCAATTATCAGCTATTGAAGTTGAAAACGTAATTAAAAACTTACCAACAAAGAAAGCCCAGGTCCTGATGGATTCATGGCTGAATTCTACAAGAAATTCAGAGAATAGTTGACGCTAATACACCTTAAACTCTTCAATGAAATTGAAAAGGAAGCAATCCTCCATAAATCATTCCTGGAGACAAGTATTGCTCTGATACCAAAACCAGAGAAAGATCCAAACAAAAAGGAGAACAAAATACCAATCTCACTAATGAACACTGATGCAAAGATTCTCAATAAAATACTGGCAAATAGAATGCAGCAAATCATCAAGAAGATTATACAGCACAACCAAGTGGGATTCATTCCAGGAAAGCAGGGCTGATAATTACATACGCAAATCAATAAATGTAATACACCACATCAACAGAGCCAAAAACAAAAACCACATGATCATCTCAATAGATGCAGAAAAAGGTTTCAATAAAGTCCAACACATGTTCATGGTAAAAACCCTTCAGAAACTCAGAATACACAGTGTCTACCTCAATCTTATACAGGCCATTTATGACAAACCAACAGCCAACATTATACTAAATGCACAAACACTGAAAGCTTTCATCTAAAATCAGGAACAATACAAGGATGTCCACTATCACCACTTCTATCCAATACAGTTCTAGAAATACTAGTGAGAGCAATCAGACAAAAGCAAGAAATTAAAGGAATAAAGATAGGAAATGAAGAAGTTAAATTATCACTATTTGCAGATGACATGATATTCTATACAGAAGACCCAAAAGACTCCATTAAAAGGCTACTACAGGTAATAAATTAAGCAGTGGAACTGAATACAAAGTTAACACTCAAAAATCAATAGCATTCCTGTACACAAACAAAAGTCACCAAGAAAGAAATTATGGAAATATCACCCTTCACAATAGCATCTAAAAAAATGAAATACTTAGGAATCAATCTAAGAATCTAAGAGACCTTTATGCTGAAAATTACACTATGCTAAAGAAAAAAAAAACAGATTGAAGAGGATATTAGAAAATGGAAGGCTTGCTCTTGGCTACAAGGAACCAAAATTGTGAAAATGGTCATACTCCCAAAACTATTAGACAGATTTAATGCAATCCCAATCAAAATACCATATATACCTCACAGATCTAGAGAAAACAAAAATTCATTTGGAAACAGAAGAAACCTAGAATAGCAAACGCAATTCTGGGCAACAAAGGCAAGAAAGGAGGCATCTCAATTCTTGACTTGAAACTATATATACTACAAAGCCACAGTGACAAAATCAGCATGGTACTGACAAAGAAACAGATCTGAGGACCAATGGAACAGATTAGAAAATGCAAACACAACTACAAAGACACTCAGCCATCTGATATTTGGCAAAGGGGCTAAACATGTTCACTGGAAGGATAGCTTCTTTAATAAATGGTGTTGGAAAAACTGGCTCTCCACATGCTGAAGACTAAAACCAGACCCATGTCTATCACCATACACTAAACTAAAATCAAAATGGATCAAGAATCTAAATATTAAAACAGAAACACTAAATCTACTGGAGAGCAAGGTAGACAGAAGTCATATAGACATAGGGGTAGGCAGAAAATTCATGAACAAAATGCAAACTGCACAGGAAATACTTTAAAGAATCAAGAACTAGGATCTCATATTATTAAAAAATTTTTGTACTTCAAAAGAAATCACCAACAAAGTGAAAAGAACACCCACATAATGGGAAAGAATTTTAGCCAGCAACCCATCAGACAAAGGACTTATATCTAGAACATACAAAGAATTGAAAAAAACCAAGGCCCTCAAAATTCAAAGACCCTCACAAAATGGGCATCTGAGATGAATATACAGTTCTCAGGCAAAGATATACAAATTGCAAATAAATAAATGAAGAAACGTTCGCCATCATTGTTCATTCAAGAAATGCAAATTAAAACAGCATTGAGATTTTATGTCATTCTGGAAAGTTTAGCTGCCATCAAAAATCAACTGATAACAAATGTTGGAAAGGCTGGGAGGAAAAAGGAACACTGCTCCACTGTTGGTGGGAATGTAGACTGGAGTTGCTACTATGGAAATCAGTATGGAGATTTTTCAGAACACTAGGATTGGAAGTTTCATTCCATCCAGCTATTCCCCTCCTGGGTACTTTCCCAGAAAAACTGAAAAGGTCACATCACAGTGATATATGTGCACCCATGTTCATAGCAGCACAATTTGTAATAGCTAAATCTTGGAAACAACCAAGATGCCCATCAACCACAGAGCAGATGAAAAAGATATGGTATCGTTATACAATCAAATATTAGCTACAAAAAAAGATGATCTTGAGGCCTTCCATAGATAAATGGAGACAACTTGAGACTATCCTCATGAGTGAAATAAGAATCATATTTATAAATATCACATTGTCTTTAGTGTAAAGAGTAATAAGAAATGTAGAAGTAATAAAACCCAAAATGTGTAATTGCTATTTTAAAGAAGAGAGGAAAAGAAAGTGCTCTAAAGGATATAACTGCATGTATAAGTTTGTAGGGTTGATAACCATATTACTATGTTTTTGTTTGATCATTGAACAGAACTGTTTGCAGTCTCACTGTTTGAACGTCCACTCTGAATGCTTTAATTTTGCAACTTGAACAATACGTATGAAGACAATATGTAATTTATCAACTAGTGATTTTTTGATTTTTTTTTTAAATTCTGTATTTGTACCCTTTTTCTGTTTTATTTTTTTTTTCCTCTTTAAATAAAGTTTTAAAAAATTTTGCCAAAGACCAACTTCTGGTTCCAAAGAAGACACTAAGGTATACTACTTGGTGATTTATGAGTCTCACAAGGCATGGTGGTACACACCTGTAATCCCAGCACTCAGGAGGCTGAGGCAGGAGGATCACCGGGAGTTCGAGGCCAGCCTAGGCTACAAAGTGAGTTCAAGGCCAGCCTGAACTGTATAGTGAGACCCTACGTTGAAAAGACAAAAAAATCTATAATGAATCTCAACTGGATCCTGAAAAGACTTGAGGTACATACAATATAAAACTGAATAAAATAGCAAGGATCAAAATGATGGGATATATTATTTTATCAAGAACTAGAGTATCTAGTTTTTGGAAAGGAAGGATGAGTGTAAAAATTTTTATTATTAAAGTATATCTACATTGAAAGAATCTGTATTTTGTTCTTAACCTGAATCTGGAACAGTATTTTATACATATAGTATTTTATCCATATTTCATAAATATTCTGAGAATTATGAAAAAGTTCTAGATTACATGAGAAATTACAGTAAAAATTTTAAATATTTAAGCTATAAATCTAAAAACATACCTCTACAACCAAATACTGGTGATGATACCTATAGAATAAAACTAAGATTAATAATCTCATGTGCACTTACCGTTCATCCTGGGGAAGATTTAAAGTTATGCTGCCTTTTATTTCCTCACGAAAGCACATATATCCTAACGTACCCAGTGTTACATATAAAGCTGTGACAATTCCCATGCCAATATTCAATGCTTGAGGAAAGTTTTTTGAATCTTTCATTTGGTTTTCCAGTGGAAGAACCTAAGGAAATAATGTAATGCTTTTTTTAAAAAGTGGGACAGGACAGAAGTATTTCAAAGTAACATAGTATCTCATGTATACAATTTGGTTTTTCTATAGTACATATACAAACTATTTTCTCCTTAAAACAACATGATCATTGTTAAACAGTTTTTCTATGTGCTGTGTTTTTCATAGTATATATTTTTAAATTCTTACAAAGATTTAAATATCGGCTCCTGGCTGATAAGCAAACCTGTTCTTTTTCTAAGTAGATTTTCATTTTGTAATAAATTTAGATTTATAGAAAGTTTACAAAGACAACACAAATAAGTGTCTATGTACTCCTGACCTACTTTCCCTTACTGTTAACATTTTACATTTAGCATGGTACATTTGTTACAAATATAAACCCGCACTGATACATTAACTAAACTCCAAAGTTCATTTGGATCATTCTGTAGAGATAGTTTGTTTAGAAAGAGATAACAAGAATCATAAATGGAAAACACCAATACTAAGAAACTGTAAGGCAGAGCAAGCAATGAAACAGAGCAACAAGGAAACAACATGAAAAAGAAAAGCCAAAACATATCAGTTATAACCATCAACATAAATGGTTTCAATTCACCAATCAAAGGAAATGAGCTGGCAGAACCGATCAAGAAGCAAGATCCAATAATATGCTGCACTCAAGAAACACATTTAACACAAAAGAAAACTCACAGACTACAAGTTAAAGGATGGAAAACAATTCTCCAGAAACCCAGAAGAAAGATAGGTAGATTATTTTATTTGCAGACAATGCAAACTGATCAAAAGAGACAAAGTCACTACATACTTGTTAAGGGAAAATTCCAAGAAGAAGAAATAACAAACTTGTAAAGGAAAATTCCGAGAAGAAGAAATATTTATACAACAAACACAGGCTAACTCAACTACATAAAACACATATTAACTGACATGAAAAACCAAATAAACACTAATACATTTGTAGTGAGGGACCTTAATACCCCTCTCACAAAAGGATAGACAAAAAATCAACAGAGAAGTATTAAAACTAAGCCCAGCCTGTGAAAAACGGACTTGGTAGATGTTTCCAGTGTTCTACACCAAAACATCAGAATACACATGCTACTCAGTCACACTTGGTACGTTCTCCAAAATAGATTATATATTAGCTAACAAAACATGATTAAGTACATGTAGACTAACTGAAACCTCTGCACACATACAATCTCACCATACCGCAGTGAAACTGGATATCACTGGCAAAGGGAACCACAAAACTACATCAATGCAGGGAAATTAAACCTCACCCTTCTGATTAACCAATAGATCACAAAAGAAATTAAAGATAAAATTAAAAAGTACATAAAATTAAAGAATAATGCCAATGCAGCATGCTGAAACTTGTAAGACAAAATGAGAGTAGTCCTACAAAGGAAATTTATAGCAATGAAATCATACATATGGAAAACAAAGTGAGCTCAAAGAAACAACCTAATGTTGAACCTCAAACTTTCAGAAAAAGAACAAATCAAATCCAAAGATCATACGAGGAAAATTATAAAGAGCAAAAATTAAGACAACAAAGCGTAAGAAAACAGTACAAAGAATCAATAAATTGAAAAGTTGATTCTTTGAAAGAACAGATAAAATTGATAAATCATTAACCAAACTAACTTTAAAAAGAAAAGAAAAAACACAAATTCAAGCAATTAGAGATGAAAGAGCAGAAATCACAACAGACCCCACAGAAATCCAGATCAATACCTACTATGAGAACCTATATTCTTATAAGAACACAGAAGAAGTAAATTCCTAGATATAATCAAATTGCCAAAACTAAATAAAGAAGATAAAAATTCTAAATAAACCAACATCAGCCAATAAAATTGAAAATGTCATTTAAAATTTACCAACAATGAAAAGACCAGGCCCTGAGGGAATCACTGCTGAATTCTACAAAAAATTTACAGAACTAATGCCATTAATGCTGAAACTCTAAAAGAAACTGAAATAAAAGCAGTATTTCCAAAATTATTACTGGAAGCAAATATTATCTTGATTCCAAAACCAGACTCTACCAAGAATGAAAACTACAGGCCAATTTCCCTAATGAACACTGATAGAAAAATCCTTAATAAGATACTGGCAATCAGAATACAACAAATCATCATTAAGATTAACCAATCATTAAGGAGATTCATCCCTAGGATGCAGGGATGGTTCAACATACACAAGTCAACAAATGTAAAACACCATATTAAAAGAATTAAGGGCAAAAATCACACTTCACATCTAGGTATTTGAATCTGAAGTAAAAGTATTGCTCCTGTAAGTACTTTAAAACTGTCATCACCTTCAGACAAACCCCAGCTCCTTGGCATGCCTGCAACCCTCTACCTTACTGAAATGTCTGAATGTAAATAGGCATCTCATTTCTGCTCCCGTGTAACTCGGTATGTTATAATCAAACCACTCACTGAAAAGAACGATCATCTCAATAGATGCAGAAAAGCATTTGACAAAGTCCAACACCCATTCATGATAAAAAAAAAAACCTATAGAAAATTGAGATAGATGGTCTTTACCTCAATATGATAAAAGTTATCTATGACAAACCAACAGCTAATATACTAAATGGTCAAAAACTGAAAGCTTACATTCTAAAATCAGGGACATTACAAAGATGCACATTAATAATACTCCTATTCAATACAGTTCTGGAAAAATTAGCCAGAGCAATTAGACAAGAGAGAGAAATAAAAGGAATAATGATAGGAAAGGAAGAAGTTAAATTATCATTATTTGCAGATAACACGATCCTGTATACAGAAGACCCCCAAAACCACCAAAACCTTGAAGAGTTTATATTCAAATTTAGTAGTGTAGCAAGATACAAAGTCAATAGCATTCCTATGCACAAGAACAAACACAGGGAGAGAAATTAGGGAAAGCATATATTCACAATAACATTCCAAAAAAAATAAAAAAGAAATAGTTAGGAATCAGTCTAACAAAGGAAGTAAAAGATCTGTACAGTGAAAATTATAGTATCCTAAAAAAAAAAAAAGATACTGAGAAAACACTCCTAAAATTTATTTGGAATCAGAAAAGACTAGAATAGTGAAAGCACTGCTGAGCAAACAAGAACATGTCAGGGGACATCACAATACTAGACCTGAAATTATACTGCAAAGCCACTGCTATAAAATCAACATGTTATTGTTATAAAAACAGGCCTGAGGATCAGTGAAGCAGAATAAAAGAAACAGATACATCCTCAAACACATTCAACCACTTTATCTTTGATAAAGGGGCCAAACATGCTCACTGAAAGGAGCCTGAATTTATAAATAAACCTTTAATAAATGGTGCCTGAAAATTTAGTTTGTCACACGCCAAAGACTGAAACTAGATCCATGCCTATCACCATACACTAAAGTCAAAATGGATCAAAGATCTAAATATTAAAACAGAAATATTAAATATACTGGAAGACAAGGTAGATAGAAATGCTGAAGACATAGGGGTAGGTAAACAGTTCATGCACAAAACATAAACTGCACAGGAAGTACTTCAAAGAATCAACAACTGAAATCTCATCTTATTAAAGTATTTGCACATCAAAAGAAATCACCACCAAAGTGAAAAGAAAACCTACAAAGTGGAAAAAAATTAGCCAACCACCCCTCAGACAAAGGACATCTATCTAGAACATACAAAGAATTGAAAAAAATCAAGTATCCCAAATTCAAAAACCCAATCCAAAAATAGGTTTCTGAAACAAATACACATTTCTCAGATGAAGAAACACAAATGACAAGTAAATACATGAAAAAATGTTCAACATCATTGGTTATTTGAGAAATTCAAAGAAAAAACAACACTGATATTCCATCTCACTCTAGAAAGAATGGCTACCATCAAAAAATCAACCAATAACAAATGCTGGTGGGGCTGTAGGGAAAAAGGGGCCCTTTTCTATTGTTGGTAGGAGTGCAGACTGGTACAACCACTCTGGAAATCAGTGTGGACATTTCTCAGAAAACTAATTCAACCCCGCTATTCCTCTTCTGAGTATTTCCCCAGAATAATTAAAAACATACCACAGCAATATATGTGCATCATGTTTATAGCAGCACAATTACAATAGTTAAATCTTGGAAATAACCCAGGAAGATCAACAGAAAAATGGATAAAAAAAAGACTTTTTTATATAATTGCATATTACTCAGCCATAAAGGAGGATAAACTGGAGACTTTCATAGGTAAATGGATGGAACTTGATGCTACATTCGTAAGACCCATATGTGTAAAAATTATATTGTCTCACTGATGAGAGAAACTGAGTAAGTAAATAGGGTCCTAAATGTACAACAGATAATATAAATTCAGAAGAAACTGTTCAAATGAAAAGACAAACTATGAAGAGGAAAGGGGAAATAAAGAAAAAGAAAAAAATACATACATATATATATACACAAAAGATAGATAATTATACAGTTAGTTTCTATTTGTTTCTTGAAAAATTTCTGCTAATATTGTTTAGACAAGATATCATGCCTATATCCTGTACTCTGAAAAAGTACTATGAAGACATGTATCAACTATTGTAACTGTCCTACTAACCTGTTTTAAAACTCAGTTTCATTGTTTATCTTTTTTTCTCTTTAAAATAAAAAAAAGTTCCTTTGGATTTCATTTGTTTTTCCATTAATGTTTTTTTTTTTTCTTTCCAGGGTCCCAACCAGAATGCCACGTGGCATTCTGTCACTTTGTTTAGTCTCCTTCAGTCTGTGACACTTCCTCATTCTTTCACTGTTGTTCATTATCTTGACACATTAACAGTGTGAAATATTTTGCATAATATTCCTCTGTTTTTCTAATTCTAGGCTTGTGACTAGACGGGATTATTAGTTTTAGAGACAGATGCCAGAAAGGTAAAGAACGCTTCTCATCACACATCATTAATGATTTATGACTGATGACATTTTGATAGTTTGGCTAAGGTATTTTGTCAAGTTTTTCTGCTGTCAAGTTATTTATTCTTCCTCCCCTTCATCAAACTCTGCTGAAAGTACATATCTAAATCTAGACCAAAGTCTAAAGAATAATTAACTGTATTTCCTGAAAGGAGGACTGACGACAAACTATTTGGGATTCTTCCTCATGCATTCATTTGTTTAATCGTTTATTTGTTAGCATGGACTTCAATACATTTGTTTTATATTTTAAGTTATAACTCAGCACTGTGTTATACATGGTGTTACTCATACTGCAGCAGCCCTGACCATTATGAACTCTTTTTTTTTTTTTTTTTTTTTTTGTCTTTTTTGCTTTTATCAGTACCAGGGATAGAACTCACGACTGCCTGCTTGCAAGGCAAGCGCTTATGCCGCTGAGCTAAATCCCCAGCCCCCATTATGAACTCTTAACAGGACAACCCCTGTGTTCCTTTGACATGCTTCCACATTTGTTTTCGAGTGGCTATTTTCTGGTACTACACTGCGTTCCAAATTCAATTTGAATTTCTTTGTGTTAGCCATAAAGTCAGCTATTTTTCTCAAGAGAGCTCTGGTTGTTTTGCTGGAGAATGCTATTCACTAAATTAGTCTGAATGCCAGGTGTGCTTGTTGCTACCACGGACCCTCTCAGGTGATGGAGCTAGGAAACACCTGCATGTATACTAACCCATGAATACACACATCTTATCTATTCACTGATATTTGTCCACTTTAATTAAGATTAAAGGATTATTTTTATTGTGTATTAAAAAGTACTTTTAAAAAAATAAAAAGGTTAATTGAAAAACGAGTTTTTAAGGATAATCTTTGGAGGCTCTGACCATACATTAGTAACAGAAAGTAACACCAAGGACAGTGCGACTGCTCGGAAGATCATCCAGACCAGAAACGTAGGGTTGCAGTCAGAAATGGTGTCAGTGCAGCCAGAAAAGGAGAAAAGGAAGGAAATGAATCTTTCCTAAGGCCCACTGCGTGTCACAAGCATTGCAGGCCTGGAATAGACTTGAGAAATATGAAAGAAGACTCCATATTCCCGAGTCACAGTTTGTAATGGGGAAGTAAGGACTGAATACAAAGAACTCCTCCAGCATTTCAAGGATCTGAAAGTAAAACTAGAAGACAAAGAGAAATAAAAACAAAGTAGGTTGTAGATGAGAAACTGTAAGTCAGACTTAGAAACTGATAAATGTGAGATGTCAGAGAAACAACACTTAACTAAAAATGTGTAATTAACTGGAATCTGGAACTCAATAATTAAAGACAAATTAAAATCTTTAGTTATGTCTGCAGCAGTAATGAGAAGAGATACAAGAACCTATAAAAATTCTCTAAAGGATAATTCAAAGAACAAAAGCCCAAATAAGTAGTATAAAACTGTCTTTCAAACCTATTTTGTCTGAGTTCATGTAAACAGATGTTTATAATTGCTTTGCTTCCATATCAAAGAATCAGGCTCTGAAACATAAGCTATCAAACAGAAGAAAGCAGTATTTTATTTCCACAGGCCTACAAATCCTAAGTTATAGATAAACTGTAATCATCCTGAACATTTATGATCTTAAAAACTTTTAAGATACTTATATCTATTGGCACTATTTTTTGATAGTGTTTCTCAAACATGATATGCACAAATATAAATGGAAATTTTATATTTGATTTTTATATAATAATAACTTTGTAAATATTTGAATTCCATTCCAACAAGCTGGTTTATAAAATAGGATATCTGGCATGTGTTTGAATGTGTATGTTAGAGATAAAACTGTCCATGAGAAAAATTTTTGAAGCTTAGTGATGCTCAAACAGGAATTCATTACACGTACCATTATCTATACATTGTATAGGTTTGAAAATTTCTGCAATAAAATATTAAAAATAATCTATTAAAATTTCCTTATTTTAAAAGGAAACAAAAGAATTAAGAGTAATATGTCTCAGATTAAGCTCTTAATGAAAGACGAACTATATTTCAAGTCTATCATACCAAACTATAAATCATACTTAGTAATAAAATTGATACAAAAAAACTTTTAAATGCATTTTATATATAGTTTGAGTATATAAACTTTGTTGACTTAAGACTTTAAAAAAATAATACTAAAATCTAATTCTTACCAGTCCTATGCCTTCAAAAGCAAATACTGCAGTGCCAAAAAAGAGTGGGTATTTTCTCCAACCAGCCACTACTGGAAGGTTGTGGGGATCTGGCATGTTCTACAAAAAAGAGTAAGATTACACATCTTTATTTATTTTAAAGGATTTAAGATAAATCAATAAAATGACACTCTTTTGAGCTTCACAACAGAAAATACGGGTTATATAAGTAGTTTTTTTCAATAAACCCTTAAAGCATATTATGTCACCTATAGCTAAGCCGTTAGGATTTAATTGCCAAAGCAACTATGTCCCTCTTGCTCACACATTTCACCAAATGAAATGCTCTTGATTACCCGTTTCCACCTGCAAGTACTGGGCTATGCATACTGGGTATGGTTCTTGCTACAACAGGAAATACATGAGCACACTCCAGTCTGAGCTGAGAGCTGTATAATCTGTTATCAACCACAACAAAAATTCATTCTCCCACTCTACAGTCATTTTGTCTTTCGCTCTCTTAAGATATCTAAACTCATCACACTGGCTTTCTATTTTACAACTCTGCTTCTCTTTAGTACAAGCCTTTTCTGGTCTCAATGTTTACCTTTTTTTACCTGAGAGTTGTTATTGCCCTTATTTCTGACTTGATTTTGCCTTTGATTATACTTCACCCTTGCTCGTAGCCTTAGTTTCAACTGTAACAATCTGGACAAACTCACAAACAGCTTACCTTTTTAAAGATTTTTGACCCCATAGTAACAATTTTTTCCAAATATCCCAAGCCTGGTCTCTACTTTCTCACCATGGTGCTTTTCTTACCTCAGCTAACTAGAAATGCAATTCAGGGCCAAGGAAAGAAAATGAACAAAACAATTAAGTATGAAAGCACATGGCTAATTTGGGGAACAGAGATGTCTGAAACATCTGAAGCACAGGTAGAACCACTAGACATAAAAGTGATATATGACTAAAAACATAAATGACAGTCAAAATGAAAAGGGAATTCAAGAATTTAGATCATTTGATACAAATGAACTAATATTCAAGGCAAGCAAGAAAATACTTGACTTCTCCATGCAACAGTTCATGTGGTTCACTCTACCTAGGGAATCAACTTTTTTACTCTGCTAAAGCTTCATGTTCAACTAAGGAGTTATGAACCCCAGAGAGCCTCATGTAATCATTTTGTCTGCCTTCTTACACTGTTTTGTGCTATGAGAGAATATGTGTTTGGGAATTCAGAGGGAACAACCCAAAACACAGAGCCACAGCAAGAGCACATGATGAAATGTTAACAAAACCTTTACAATAATTACCTTGGAAGTAATATATAAGATGGATTGGAGCAGGGGGAAATAGGAATTCTCAATCATTGTTTGGTTACTGGCTCCTCTAAAAGATGCAATACAGCCACTCAGGAAAAAAAAAAAGATGTACAATACACACAGAAACCTAAAGCTTACAGATAAAAGGGTTACACAGATTGCATGAATCTGAAGAAGTTTTTCTGAATTAAGTGAGTTAAGAATCTCCAGCACATGGCCAGACATGGCGGTGCACACTGATAATCCCAGTACTTAAAGGCAGAGGCAGGAGGATTGCCTTGAGCTCAAGGCCAGCCTCAATTACATGGCAAGGCCCCCATCTCAAAAAAACAAAATAAAAAACAAAAATTATCCAGAATTTGGACAATGAAACCAGATCAAGTTATTGCATATACTTCAAATAAACATTTACAGACTTGTGTTGTAACATTGGATTAAAGCAATGGCAGCAAATAAAAATTTAAAAGAAAATTACAGAATTATATACACACCCATCCTGTGGATGACAGAAATTTTAAAGAAATAAACAATATGCATAATGAGTTATTTCCTGTGAGGCACTGTACTTCCTGAGAGCACAAATTTAACTCTCACAAGAACTCTGATAGGTAATATTATTTACAAAGCAATGTCACAAAGCCCAGAGACATATTTTGCAAGATTCAAAACCAGACATGACTACAATACCTGTGCTTATCATCTCCATGTCACATTCTTTTCTAATTAAACATCACCCCACAAAATCCAAAATTTACTGCTTATCATCTTACTGTTTACTGTGCCATAAATGTAGTAGAAGGTCTTTATACACTATTACTTCTACCTCCTCTATTACTTAAAGAGGAAATACATGACATTTAGTTTAAAACATACTTACCCTAGTAACATATTGATAAATTATGACAAGACTGACAGCCATGGAAACATTGGCAAGGAATGAAAGCACAAACAGATGCTTTAGCTCACGAATGAAGACCAGAAGTATTATAAATGGAAGAAAACAAAGCATATATATCCTCAGGTCAACACTTCTTCTCTCATATGGAGTTGATGAATTGGTACTATTCAAAATGAGCACTTTACTCTCCAGGAATCCTTCATGAACCTATGTATAATTACCAGGGAAATAAGAAAGGAAGGGGAAAACCCATCAATTTATAATCAAATAAGAGATACTATTGAGAAAACTATACTCTATAGTCTATCATAAATTCCTATGACATACTTGATAATAATGTATTGACATTTTTTCAAGATACTCTGGTTTCTTAAAAACATCTTTTAAATATAAGGGTAACTAAGGAAAAAATGTTCTTTGTAAAATAATTTTTTTACTGTACTATGAAAATAAAGTTAAGCAGAAAATTGTGAGGACGGATTTGCTAATTTATTTTGAAGCCTTGTAACTGTCATGCTCATAACTCCTTAAATAACTCAAAGATCTGTTTCTGACATTCTCAAAACTGGAAGCACATTTACTTAGAATGGTATTGGTTATTCTAAGAATGGTATTGGTTATTCTGCCCTCCTGCAGCTTACTTCTTTCAGTATAGGAAATACTCCCTACATACTTCTCAGACACGTACAGTAGAAACAGTTACATTTAAAAACCAAAGCGTAAGTAAAAATTTATATAAAGCAACTTTCCATAAATTGTATTCACTATTAATAATTAGTAAGAACCCATTAAGTTGAGACCTAACCATAATGTTGGCAGACAATTTCACTAGAGCAGAAAACTTCTATAAGGTAACTAAACTTTAACTTAAACTTTATTTACCTATTTGTATAACACAATTTTTCATATTTTAATATAGTTATTTACAGGCTCCATATATTAAAAACTGACCCAACTAATCAAACAATTCCACTAAAATAGAAATAAAGTTATGGAAGTTTTAAAAATCAGCTATATAAAAAGTTTCTTAACTGTATACTTTCTCTACTAAAATATTATTAAAACAACCTTTTACTTCTAACAAAAAAGTACAAAATCTTAAGCCTAGAAATAGAAATAGGATTATGATTCAATAGAAATACTAGTTGATTTTAGAAACTCTAGAAACAATTGTAAAAATTTGTAGTCAGGCAAGTCATTCTATAATTTAAATACCAGTGAAAACACATTCAGCAGCATAAGCAGCTGGCAAGTGCAAGGTCCTTAGTTTGATTCTCAGTACCAAAAAAAAAAAAAAGGACCAGGGATTTAGCCCAGAGGCACAAGTGCCTGCCTTACAAGAGTGCAGTCATGAGTTTGATCCCCACTACCAAAAAAAAAAAAAAAAAAAAAGAATGAAAGAAAATATATTTGCCCCACACACACTGTAGCCTCCTCAAACACACTGTAGCCTCCTCAAACACACTGTATTACCAAGTATCCAAACACACAGCATTCTTTAACAGACCCATACTAGTAACAGCTAGTGTTGCTTTTTTTTTTTTTAAGCACTTTCTATGGACCAGATACTAAACTACATGCTTTATATAATTAATCCAACTCACTCCTCCAAAAGACCCTTAGAAGCAGAGTGTAGTATTAATTTCAACTTAAACAGAGTAAACTAAGGCTTAGAGGGGGGATAAACAGATACATACTATAGAATTAGTTAAGAGTGGTTCAAATTTCATTTCTGAAACTTGTAGGTGCTACATGTTACCCTCACCAAAATAGTGCAACACAGAGATGATTGTTCTGCCCAAGTAGCCACCTGGCTGCCACTCTGATTGTTCTCTGAATAATATTAATACTTAATATTAAATGATATTAATACTTAATAAGTAATATTAAGGGGACAACAAGGTGAAGTTTAAAACAAAATCTGATGTTTTTAGTAATCCAAATATTTCTTTTACTTTAATTCTGTACTTATAATCTATGATAAGAAATCTATAATCTGTTACTTTAATTCTGTACTTATAATCTATGGTAAGTAATGTTATTATTCACTAAAAATATATAAATTATCTTAAGTGTAGGGAATTTACTAAGTTTTAAGATATATAGGCCTTTTATTAACTCATAATGGATTTAAAAACTTTCAAGTTATACCATGCACCAATTAAGAAATGCATAGCTCATTATTATCTTGTAACTGGCCATCAAAACTTTATAATATCTGTAATTTGAAGTTGAGGCAAAATTGATCATTTGTATCATCTATCTTTTAATAAGATGTTTCATTATTGACTCAATTTTCTCTGTAAACAAATTATTAGCTTAGGTAGTGGCCAAACTTAAGCTCTAGCAAGAATTCTTGGCAAAAGAAAAGTAGTTATATAAATAAATTTTAAGTACTATTTGAGTTATTATGTCATTGGGAATTTAAAATTAATTCTATCACAAATATCTAATAATATTTTAGTATTCTTTGGCAAAAATACGGCTATGAAAATTCTCAGGACTAAAAAATACAGTAAAAGAAAAATGCAGATACATACCTAGAGCAAGATTCAGGTAAACATTTGAGTCCTTTGGTGCCCTCTAGAGACAGAGATGGGCTGTCTAATAGGACTTCCTATGGTCTCACATGTTTACCAAAGTGTAAAACACTGGAATAAATATTATAAAATAAAATTACTAAATTCAGTTGTTTCCATTTAGAATTCAAATTTACTAAAATCCACTACTTATTGGCTTTTCATGACTCAGTAATTTAATGGTTAAAATTCCCAAAGGCAAATGATGTTCTTTAGAAAAGTTAAATGCAGAATCAAAGTCATAATTCTATATATTTTAATAATGTTTCACATTTTATAAATGATTTCACAAATATTTTATCATCTGAGCCTCGTAAGTTTGTGAGGAAGAAGGGAAGATTTTGTTACTATTTATATTTTACAAATAAGGAAATTGAACCTTGATAAGAACGTCCTGTCCAACATGTGAGTTGAAAACTGAGAGCACAGATTTGAACTTAGGCGTTCCAATTCTTGTCAGAGAATGTTTTCCCTCTTACAGTAATATTTCTTCCTAAGGTCCAAACCCATATATGCTACTTTATCTGAAATTTTCTTGTCTTTTTCAGTTAAGAACAGAAGACAGCTACAAGCACCCTCATAGCATAGACTCAACAGACACATGACGGCTTTCTCCTTCCTGTTGTTCATGCTGGCTTAATGTGAACAAAACTTGGTATCTTGTAGCCACAGATTGAGTTTCCACGAGTACAGTAACTAAACCTTTGACTCCTTGGATTAATGAAATACTGTGCAGTCGATTTCATGTATACTAAGGGAGTAAAAATCCCAGAGCTTTTAAATTTAAAATTTATTGGAGTTTAATTAACTAGTACATGCACTATTATCATATAGTGCTATCAAATGTAAAAGCACCTCTCAAAAGAAAGTGAAATTCACTGTCCTTATTCTGCTTCAAGAGCATTTACTTTGCTTTCCTGGTGTGTTTCATTATTGCTTTCAACTACTTTTAAAGCCTAATTAAACATCTTTTTCCATGTTGCTCTTTATGACTTCAAACAACTTTCATATTCTATCTACACAGAAACACTCTACCTCCCAAGAACCACTTTTTCTACCTCAGCTTCTTGGATATTTGCAAATAAACTTTTCTATTCCACCTTGAAAGAAACTGATTCTGCTTCATAAAAAAAAAAAGTTATTCAAAACTTTTAGACATTTATTTTCTCCACTTTTTCTACTCTTTATATCACACACACATACACACACAAAACCAGACAGTACCCTGCTCAGTTACAAGTAATATACTGGGTGCCAACTGTGACAAAGACCTACATTCCAGTCTAATTCCACGTGATGTAGGGCACATTGTCATATTTTGTGAAACTGCTTCATGAAGAACATATCACTTACTTTAAAGAGTACAGGTAAGGATTAAATGAAATATGTCACAGATTATAAACATAAAATTATAAACCACTACCTGTATACCTAACTTCTTATGGAGTTTGTCAGTAACTGTCTTAGAAGACACTAGAAAAGATGAGTACTACTATAATACAAAGTCCTAGGGAAGTGTTTTTCTATCATGTTCTATTACTGGTAAGATAATATGTCTTACCAGTTATTAACCATAAATAGCCTCATAATGTATTAGAAATCCTAGCAAATGCAGTATAGAGTTAAATACTTGTAAAATCCAAAGAACACCATCTATTAAAAGTAAAGTTAATGAAAGCACTGATACTACTTCGATAAATGTAATCAGTACTATAATTGTTAACTGGTGTACTTTTCTATCAACTCCACATCTCTTGTCTCCATATGCTTTCACTAAAGTCTTTCACTTGTTATTCCACAATTACAACATGTTGAGTGAACACCTGTAACTAAAGGAAAAAAACTGAATTGGATTTTTGCAGAAAATTTATTTCAAGAGAATTTAATAATTTGCAAGTATCTGGAGAAAGAAGAGAGGAAATAGTATAGAAGCTAGATATTTGGAAAAATAAAAATAAAATGAGGCTGAAAAAAGAAATTATATAATTTATTGGGACATTCAGATGAAGACAACATCCAAGAGTACCCTCTTAGCTAACCCGATCAGCAATCACAACACTAATCTCTTGACCCTATTCCTTTTATAACACTTGAAAAGATATACAGTGAAAATGAGAATCCAACATAATCCAATCATGCACAGGAGAAAAGAAAAGGGCTGACTAAACAAACTGGTAAGAAGGGTGTGAATAAGAACAGAGCAAGGAAAGCAGAGAAGATATAACCAATGGGGAAAATCAAACAAAAGGATGAAACTTGATCAGTAAAACTTTACTGAACGTTTTTTCAATAAGCCGGGTACAACAGTACATATAAGAAATACAGAGACAAAAAATAAAAAATCTATAGAATTTACCTATCTTTCAATCCAGTAACAATATTAGGTTCCTATAAACCAGGCACTATTAGAAGCTAGTTTATAGTGGTGAACACAATAGATACAATGGTTCTTTCCCTCTTGAGACTTACAATCTACTGATGAAATTATGTTGTAAACAAATCGAATACCCTAAGGCTATGTTTACAAGTGTTATGGAAGGTAGGAGAAAACATCAATAAATTATAGCAAGAGATAAAGAAACTGAAGGACACTGGAGGCTCCCAGAACAGTTAACAGTGAAGCTAAGTTTGGAACTCTGCCATACATAAACAAAAAAAAATTTATGGATGCTGAGACATGGCATCCAAGACAAAACAATGACCTTGAAATCCAAGCTGAATCCCTAACTGACATCCTGTAAGAGAATTCCCTTATTTTACAAGAGTACTGATGATCTTTTTCAATATGGAACATCTAAGTTTGTGACTCAAAAGTAGTAATATCCAGTGAAATCATGAGTTAGTAAACTGTAGCCTACAGACCCAAGATAGCCTGACAAGTATTTTTATAAACACAGTTTTATTGGAATACAGAGTTATTTGCTTACATGTTATTGTTTATGGCTGCGCTGAACAGTTGTAACAGATACCATATGGTCTTCAAAGAAAAAAATACTTATTTTATGACCCTTTACAGAAAATGTGTGCCAATTCTTGGTCTTAAAAAAAAACATACTAACATACTTTATACTCAAAAAAGAAAGTGACATACACACACATATATAAAGCATTCCTCTATTATAATGAATAAAAGCTATTGGCTAAAAAATGACTAAAGAAAAGCAGAAAGTAATAAAAGATCACTGATACCAATCATAAAGAAATCCACCTTGGCACTGTTTTGATAGAATTTTTGTTTTGCTGCTCTGTGTGTTTGTCCAAATAGACTGCTGATTTCTAAACCAAAGCTCCCAACCACTTTTTCAAAATCAAACTATACATTTATGAAAAACTATATATTTTTAAACAATATCTTTTAACAATGGAATAATTTGTTGAACTTTAGTAAGCAATGCTCACTTTTTTAACCTTGTTTTTAGGCTACCGGTTAAACCCACATATAAACATACATATATGCATATATACACACAAACACACACTGATGTAAAGAACATGATCTCAAATTATAAATAAGCTTTTGAGATCTAAATCCGAAGTAACAAAAATTCAGTAAGATGTCACATTCAGAGCAGCAAAAACAGACACTATAAATATTAAGGCAAGAAAATAATAACAAAAATCAAACTTGCAAAAGAGAAGACAAACCTATACTGGAGGATCAGACCATGTATAAGAGGAATATATTTTAATATTCAACCATGATTTTTACATAACAAGTATAATACTATACACAGCGCATTAGAAGAAAATAATTTTACTAACTGGATAAAAGTACTCACTTGTTTCACATTTTCAGCTAAGAAGACAATATAAACACTGCAGAATCCCAACTGTGTTATCACCAGAAAAAAGTCAATCACAATCCTGAAGGGAAATATCCACAAGTAAGTACCAATAAAAGTTGGTGAAATATCATTGTATTTTATTTCTCTTTTACATGTTTTAAGAAATTTTATAATTATTTTACTTCCTTAAATAAAAACATTTAGAGATTTTATTTCCTATAAAAATCACACACATATGATTACTGAGAGCAAAATAATGCTCCATTAAGGTAAAAAACTAAGATTTTTACACCACTGTCTTTTTCTGAAATTAAGAGTTTAAAAATATCTGCTTGTAAGAAGATTTTATGAAAAATATTTCATTTAGATTAAGCCATTTCTACTACTTCTCAAGATATTTTTCAGATCACCTCAGTGCACTTGTCACTTCATCCCAGCTTCATGTTATTTTCAAATATGATTTGTTATTATTGTCTTGCCTTAGTATTTATAATGTCTACTTTTGCTTCTCTGAATATGACATCTTACTGATTTTTTGTTACTTCAAATTTAGATTTCAAAAGCTTATTTATAATTTGAGAGCATGTTATTTTCAAATATCAGAAGAGAGAATTAAAGAAGATTGGGACAGTGGCCCTAAATCATGCAACAACAGATCCTTCCAGTATCTTTTCTCTTATTTTTTTAATGAGATGCTAAGGAAGATTCCAGCTACATAAAATGGAGAGAAATAGGTGAAGAATATCAGCAGGCACATCAAAGTGACACTTAAATATGGAGGTTTTCAAATTATATACCTGACTGTATGTTATTATGAAACATCCCAGGCTTGTTTAGGTTTAGAAACAATGAATGACACTTTAACACGCACTTACTAATTTATTACAGACTCTCCTTTGACCATCAGTACTATGGTTTGTATCTAGAGTACCCCCAAAGCCTCACGCAGTTTTAAATGGTGCTTTTTGAGAGATGGCTAAATGTAGAGTGTATGACTGATTGTAGTACAATGCTGGGATTAAGGGTGTTGGTATAGCCTGTATACAGAAAGGGTTGCTTGTCCTCTCTCTCCCTGCTTGTTGCTCTCGCTGTTTTCTGCCACCATAAACTGTTGCTCCTCTGCCATATGACATTCTGCCTTGAAGCCAGCCAACTATGGGCTGGTATTTCTATAAACTGTGAGCTAAATAAAACTTTCTTCCCTTAACTCTTGTGGATATTGGGTATTTTGTCTTAGAAATGACAAAAGTAACTAACAAACAAAATGTTAATAATGTTTTCAAAATAGACTTTCTTTCTCCCATTTGAAATGGGAAGTCCTCTGCCTATTTTCTTTCTTGCTATCATTACTATTCTCCATAGCTATTCAGAAATTATGTTTGTAAGTTATCTTGCTAACCTAAAATGAATTCCATTTTTCTTTTATCTAATGAATTACATGTTGGCATTTTAAGTATTCCCTTATCTTTTCATCTATCTTTTAGTGTCCTACCACCAATCAATCCAGCCACTTCTGTTTGAAAGCCATTCTGCATAGGAAAAGCAAACAAAGAGGCTTGTAATCTGGGGTATAAGAAAAATAAGAGTTTGTGCAATGGGTTCTGGGGGTAGGTAGGTCCCTAAAGTGTGTGTTAGGTTTTACTTCCTTCTTTCTACTTTATCAGAACTCTGAGACCTTCATAAACATACTTAACTTCCTGAAAACTTCCAGAAAGGCCATCTTTAACTATACTAACATTGTTCTTTTTCATCCTGTAATTCCCACTGCACATAACATTTATACCATAGGTAGCACTTTGTTGAATGTATATACTTCCTTTTTTTCTATTCCTGTGTTCATCTAGCTTAGCTTCAACATGTCCACTAATGAGAAAGTTACATCTAAATAACAAGACAATAAAGTAAGCCCGAACCAAGAGACCTGAGGTCACTAATGAGCATGTAGCTATACACAATTTTATTTAATATACAGTAATGAGACTGCAACATTTTTCTTATTCTTTTATTTAAAAAGTAATGGACAGAGGTTATTAGTTGTCCAGGTGCTTTATAAATGTAATATACTTAATTTACTATAATACTTCTCTGAAGTATTATTAGTTCACTTCATGAGAAATCCAAACCAAATTGATGACTAGTTTGACCTCCACTGTGAAACAGAAAATTTGCAGAGCTGAAGCTTGAACCTAACTCTACACTAAAGATTATCTATGTGATTCTCTCAATTATATTATTTACATGTCTTATCAGATTAAAATACTTAAAAATTAATATAATTTCCACAACTAGATATTAGAAACATAAAGTACTTAACCGTCCCCATGGTGCTTGCTTCTGAAGGCAATTCCAAGGACTTGCTTCCATAGCAAGACTCACAGTGTCACTGTAACTTAGTGTTGACTTTTTAAACCTGTAATTTAATGATATACATATATAGTAAAAAGAAGAATGTTAAGTTGGTCCATAAAACCATTCTTTGAAAATAAAATCAAATAAATGTGAATTAAGAAATGCAGCCTATGTGTTAACAGATTCGTTTGCAAAATTTGAAGATCTATATACTCTGTTCTTTTCACTAGGGTATTAGTTTTTATTTACTGTTTAAATTTAACAGCTACAGAATTGAAAGCATGTAATATTTGCTAATCAACTACCTAAAACCATCAACTATACTGTTCACATCTAAATTATTCCATTTTCAGAATTATTTAACATTACATCTGGTGAGGGCTCTACAATATACTTCCAAATAAACTTATTCATTTAATTTTCAATATAACTGAGATAGTAATATTTAGGTAGGTAGGTAATATTGTTCCATTTAATTCCTCTCTTTGCTGTCTTAGTGAGCATTATTATTTAAATATCGTAAGTGATTTATCCAGTTTTAAGAACATTTAATATCAAGAATCAAAACTAGTCTATTAAGGTAAGAAATATTTATTAAACTTCTTCAATAAAATGCTGGTTGTCTCGTAAAAACATATCAGATCATTGTACAAAAATAAAAAAATAACACAGTATTTATCATCTACAAATCTACACATCGGTAAAGAACACTAAAAACACTACACTCAAAATTAAATCACTATTAACAGAAGATCTTGAACTATTACTAAGAGCTGGATTACTGCCTCTATTTCCTCTAAAACTTCTCTGATTTTTCTCATCTACACTAGATAAAAGAACCCATTAGCTAGGCATGGCACTGCATGCCTGTGTTCCCAGGACCTGAGAGGCCAAGACATGAAGATCATCACAAGTTTGAGGCCAATTTTGACTAGTGGTTCAAGGCAGCCTGAACTATGCAGTAATAACCTGTCTCAAAAAAACAAAAGAAAAAACAAAAATAAAACATCATTCTATTCCACTGATAGGATACCTCTGGTACATAATCAGTGATCTACAGTCACAGTTTCCTCATTCATGGAATTAACCAACCACTTGTGGGAAAATACGTGGAAAAAAATGCATCTGTGCTAAGTATGCTTTTTTGTCGTTATTTCCCAAACAATAAAGTATAACAACTAATTGTATAGCATTTATATTGTAGGAGATATTACAAATAACTACAAATAAATGATTCAAAGTATATGGGAGGATTACAGAAGGTGTATGCAAATACCATGTCATTTTACATGAAATACTTGAGTTTCTGCAGATTTTGCTATCAAGAGGAATCCTGAAACCAGTCCTCTAAGGATACATAAAGATAGGCTTCCAGTGACATTTAAATCATATGAAATGGTACTCTTTTACATATTCATTATCTTGTATTTGTCTATACAATAGATGAAAGAAAATACAACTTCATGCTCCAAAGCACAGTATAAATTTAATAATATGATATTCCAAGTAAATACATAACTTTGAAATAAAGACTTAACAAATCCACATTTACCTCTGACATAGAAAGTGACTGCAATGTACCAATATGTGCATACAGTGAACAGAAATAATTCCTATAAACACAAGGCTGATTGGTCCAAGCTGTGAAAAAAAATGTATATAATAAATATTTAATATTTTAAAAAATTATCAACTGCATAAGCAATGAGTCCTTAGACTATCATTTTACAGTGAAAAAATCATTTGTTGGACAAAATGGTTAGACTGTCATCTGCAAAGGGAAAATTAATAAACAATATAGAAACTATTTCAGGTAGTGTTTAAGACAACCAGGTATGATTCTATCTTACCAATTTAGCTACTTAAACCTAACATTAAATATTATAAACATGTAATTAAATAGAAATGAAAATAGTAATTCTCATGTTTTGTTATACTAAAATACTAGGCCACTAGAATAGCAGATATTTTATAAATATAAACCTTATAGGGTTCATATAATTTTATCAATACAACAGGTAACTGATAATCTAAATGTCACTTGACCAGGTTATATTTGAAGAGGCCAGATGTTGGCTTATAGGAATTTTGGCTAACAATTACATCTTAACTAGAGTTTACAAAGATAAGTCTTACCACTATGCCTGCATTTTTTATTGCCAATGGAAGTCCTAACAAGCCAGTTCCAATATTTCCCTTAAGAAGATGCATAAGAGTTTGTATAAATCTGAAAAAAAGATGTAAACATTTTATTTAGACTATGATTTTTACTATTAGAAGGAAAATGTAAATCATTGCAGGCAACAAACCAAATAACATTTCCATTCTATCATTTGGCTTGGTTTAAATTGTATCTTTCCAGGGCCAAAGAGTTAGATCATTGGCTCAGGTGCCTGCCTGGTAAGCGCAAGGTTCTGAGTTCATTCTCTGTATTTTTGCTACTTAAAATTTTTGGACATAAGCATTGTAGAGATTAAACAAGATACTTAAGTGAAAGTGCTTCTTCACACAGCAAAGTAATTTAAAAGAAAGAGAAGGAATCTTGTAAGTTCTCTAAGGATTTAACCTAAGAATAGTTTCTAAGAAGCAACTAAAAGAGGTCTCTTAACCAAGATGAAGTAAATAAAAGTAGGAAAAAGAAAACAAAATTCAAACTTAGTAAGGGAAAGTTTGCTAAGGTTTTTCTTCAGTTTATAATTTTTGTTCATTGGATATATTACTTTGCTTAACCATTAAATTACTATAAGAAAAAGAACTTGTAAACGAAGGCAAAATTTTTTTTTAAATATTACACTGCTTTCCTATGACTGTCTTCTGCTTGCTCTGCATAACTTGTTCACTGCATATCAAACACCTAGTTTCTCAGCATTTCAGAAGACAGTTCTCTTCACATTCCTATTCCTCTCAATCAGATCTTACTTCTTTCAGGATCTACAGCAATTAATTATCACTGTAATAGTTCCTACACAATACTCTGTAAAGTAAATGTATTTCTTCCTTGCAAATAAACTATACACACTTTGAAGGTAGATTTTTTTATTCATCTTTACATTTCCTGAAGTATCTCATAAAATACCTTGCCTGTAGAAGATAACAGGATACATACTGAAACAAAAGAAAACAAACAGAAACCTCAACACTTACGAAATACCCTCCTGGTGATCAAGTTGGTAATGCTTCTGAACAGGCAAGAGTTCTGCCTCATTTTCTTCATCTGATGTCCCATCAAAATTTTGTTCATTTATCAAGGGCCTCATTACATCCATATCTTCAAAAAAGAAAAAAAAAATACTTCAATATTATTTTTAAATCAGGATAAAGCTGTATAAATGAATTTACCATACAGGAAATGCGGTTTACTTATCTTTACTATTTCTATTATGAATAACTTAGTTATCTATCTCAACTTCTCCTGTTAACTCCTTTTGTTATGGTGTAACAGGGACAGGCTAAATACAAGAAAATAGCTTACTAGGTTAAGAGCTACTTCAAACACCTGGGTAAGCTTATGAGTGTAAAAGAAAACACAGGAACAAAGGATGAAAGTTAAAGTAAGAGGGGAGATAAGAAGGACCTTTCCTCCTAGAACAAAGTATGTTAAGTTAGTTGACAGACAGCTCCTCTCTAACTTTCTGGCTGGACCTAGAAAACTTAGAAATGTAGAGTAGGGCTTGGGATCTAGCACGGGGGCAACCCTAAGGTCCCAAGTTCAACTTCGGTACAAAAAAGAAAAAACAAAAAAAAATGCAGAGTAACCAGGTTGTTTTTCTTTAATGACTCTGTTTCCTGTAAACAGGCTATATAACTAATTTCTTTTAATCCCTAAATCCACAAAATCACCTGTTTAAAACAAGTTTCCATGTACTGTTTATCTATATAAGTTCAAAATGAAAGCACATGGGCATGTGCTTCTTCCAGAAGTCCTTCACAAAGGTCACTCATCAGGACCTTTTTTTTCCTTATTTCCAACAAATACTACCCTAACTTCTTCATTTTGTCTGTGATTTTATTCTTCAATTTCATGAGACAATGAATACAGGTTTATGCAAAACTAACTTCTTAAATGGTATATTTAAAAAGAAACAACTAGACGTATTTACTGAATATTGTTTGGGCTATGCAGTAGAAAGCAAAAAGGTTAGGTACCCAATGCAAAAATTCTTTCAGATAGGTCTACATAAGATTTATGGTAAGTGATCAAAGAATTATGGCATGAGAAATATCAAGAAATAGTTAAATACATTTTCATCTCCAGTTAGCTTCACATCCTACTGTTAAGATAAACAGTAATTATGTTTTCCAATACTTCAAGAAAATTATAAAGCTATTCCAATGTTTAAAATTTCAGTATCAAATTGTACCATTCACTTATCAATTTTTTAGCATGATTCTGCTCTATCAATAAAAAAGACAATACTAGTCACTACTGTCTGTCTTGTAATACTCATTAGGAACAAATTTGTTGAGACCATGGATGCACATTACAGGGTCTAAAGTACAGAAGATTTTTAAAAAAGCAAAGTTTGTTTCATCCAAATTCATATAGTAAACTACAAAAAAGTAAACTGTAATAACTAAATAATTTAGTTGGAAATGCCTAATTGACATTACTTTTTACGTTTTTTTGGAATAATTTAAAAATTACGGTAACAAATTGTCTGCTGGCCTGAACCATCAGTGGTACATGCACAATTGTCCCACTGGGCAGACTGAACCACCAGGAGTTTGCTATTTAACAACAGATGATGGACTTCAAACCAGAGCTGCCCAGCAGTAAGACAAAATATAGCCCCGTCATGAACATGTTAAGCTAAATTTGCAAGAATTGTACAAAAAAAAAAAAACCATTTCTTTATAAACTTACTAATTTCAAAATTTTGTCACATATTTTTGTCTCTTAAACCCATAATATTTTTAGTGAACTACTGGAGAGTAAGCTACACATATCATGCTCTGCTTCATTCTACAGGATCCCTCATTTCCCTGGTAAAAGCCCTCTCTCCATTTAATGCTAGGAATCTGAAGCGCACTTGCACTGCTCTATTTGTCTCCATTCTCAAGAAGCAATGTTTTGCCAAGGCCGCTCTATCAGTTCTGCTCGCATTCAGGTGACTTTCCTGTTCTCAGACCTATGAACTGTGAATTTCCAGGCTTGACCTCTGTTACACTTTTAACACACTTTAGCTCTTTTTTCCTACAGATTTCACTGTACTTCCTCCCACTCTCAAACTACCCTTTCCTCCAAAGAGAACCTAAAGAGTCCCCCTCTGTGTTTACAATAGCAACAAGGACTCTGTGGCAATTTGCCATCTTTCACTGCTTACAGATAATTTTAAGCTTGTGGTTTCCTTGGTTTCCTGGTGATGCTAAAAGAGTAAGTTTATGAAGGTTTGTGTTCTTTGTTGAGTTTACAGGTTGTGGGAGGATATGCTTAGAAACTGGGATTGAGGCAGACAACACGGGAGAAATGCTTTAAACAACCTATTCTTAAATCATTTCTTCCTCCAATAATGCAAGTTATACAGAGATTAAAATTCATTAAATTATCAAAAGTTCCAAAATCATGTAATCCAAATTAACGAGGACTTTGTGTGGTTTAAATTCCTTAATTTTTGCCTTTTGGTGTTTTTCTTACAATTTCATGCTCAGAATATTCTACATAGATTATTTAATAGTGTTTGTACTGGACTGTGGGAGAAGAGAACAAGAAATCACCAAGAAGTAAGCCCACCCTGCAAATCAGTGCCATGCAAGGGCCACTAAGGGGACAGCCAGATGCCAGCTTTTTCCCATGAATTAGCGCCATTTGTGGACTATGGGAGAAGAGAACAAGAAGTCTACAGAGCAAGAGAACAAGAAGTCACCAACAAGCAAGCCCTTCCTGTGAACTGGCATCTTGCTCAGGCCACTGAGAAGAGAACCAGATGCCAGCTCTTTCAGGTGCACAGGCTGGGAAGTGAGAAGAGCCAGCACCCCCCCTCCACGCCCACCCTTCATGTCCCACTAAGCAACCAACTGATACAGAAAAACATAGACTATGATGATAGATACTGAGGTAAACTACAATTTAATGCGTATAGTGTTTAGTGTTTCACTGATTGTGCAGGTCTAAGGCAGGTAGTCTGATTATTCAGAGGATAACAGTATACAATGTAGCATCTATGGGGGCTCTCCTTTTGAAGGTGGTAATCATTGTTAATTCCTTATCATCTTGCTTTGAAGTTCTGTATTATTTTCATTGTTTTGTTGGTTTGGGTTTTATCCTGTTTTGTTTGATTTTGTTATATCGGATGGCATGGACAGCTATTTCAAAGATGATGGTATATTGTATTGCCATTTTAGATTTATTACTGTCTTTTTTTGAAGTTCTTTATTGCATTCATTGTTTTGTTTTTATTGTTCTATTCTGTTCTCTTTTGTTTGATTTTTACTATGTCTGAAGGTATCTGCAGCTATTTTGAAGACAAGGCATTATATTAACCATTATTGGTTTTCCATTGTTTTGAAGTCCTGTGTCACTTACACTAGCTTGCTTTGATTGGTTTTATTCTGTTTAGTTTTATTCTCTTTAAAATAAAAATTTAAAAATAGTGTTTGTATCTGTTTTTTGGTATCAAAAATGGCATAGCCTAAACCTATACACAGTGAAAATTAAGTGTTTTCCCATAATGCATCTTGGGGACATCTACTATCTCATAGTTACTTTATCAGTTTATTAAACTATAACCCATCTTTTGTTTGAATGGGTGCTATTTCTCTTTCCCTTGTACTCCGTGCAAAATAAATTGATAACACATGTTAAAAACCATCACATCATTTTGCTCCAGTTTGCCTAAGAAAGTCCCACAAAATGGATGGCTTAAATAACAAATACATAAGTTCTAAAGGCATGAAGTCTGGAATCAAGGAGTTGGGAGCGCTGGTTCCTTCTGAGAGCTGGGAGAAATGCTTTCTCCTTCTGTTGGAGTTAGCCATTTTCATGTTCACTCACATTCCTACATAGAAGATGACTAGGCTGTAATTACTGTTAAAAGCCTTACATTGTTTAGTAATTATCATCCTGTGGCTACAATTTTTCCTAGTTCTTAAATTTACTCTTTTTCTCAATGTTATATTGTCCAGGAAACATTAAATATAATTACTGTGGGAAATATTTTTCATATACATATTTGTTTTAAATCCATTTTTATCCCCTATATTTAAAAATCTTAATAACATATAATTATTTCAGGAAGTTTCTTTAACCTTCTCACAATGAAATTATAAAGCTGATTTTAAAAAATTGAAACTAAGAGAAAAATACTTTTTAGCAATGTTAGGAATTAAAGAGGTACATAATTATATATTGATTTGATTTTAATATTAAAGCAGAAGTATGCAATGTTCCACATTGTTAACTAAGTTCTACTTATGTCTTTAAATTTTAAAGCAGCTGAGAAAAAATTTTAAAACTTTCCCTCCTAGTTTTAGTATACATTACTGAAGCACCTTTGCATACTAAGAAATATGTTTTTCTTTAAGTAAACTAAGAATAGATAAAGTGACCAGGTTTTTGAACTAAATATTAGCTTCAATGGTATGATTTCTCAAACCTAAATAATAAATTAAAATACAGGCAACTAAAAATATCTGAGAAATATCTTTGTGCTGAAGAAGTTGCATCTTTAAGTAGTAGAATGATATTTATTAATAAATAGTCACTTATACCTTTTAGATGCTCCAGGTCATACTAAATAAAATGCTAAATTGTAGTGCATTCTAAATTTTGGCAAGCAGTAATATTTTTTCTTATATTTAACTCAATTTTTTGGAATATTAGCATTGCCATTGGTCATGATGCAATGATCAACATTTCAGGTTTGAATACACTGCCTCTTAAGAAACTAGTTAGTTTCACGTGGCTGAAAATGAAGGTGCAAGTACTAAACAGCAGAAGATTAAGTTGGAAGGCACTCTCATACAAGCCTTGTCAAGAACCAAAGACCCTTTCCCATGAAAAGTTTCTGGCTCAGGTTCAAGAAAGACAGCACCAGTTACCACAGCATCCCTCCACTGGGTTATTTTACACTGCCAAGTCAGATATAGATAGTGAGTTGGCTTAAGGAATTAAGCCACACTCTCTATGAACTCCTATGGCATTCTCAGAAAGATGAGTTTTTCCTGGCATAGTAAATTTCCATGGCTTAGCTGATTTACTAGGGTAGACTAAGGAGAGCAAATTAAAATGCTTTTTATGCACACAGTATTCAGGAAGCGCATACTACAGGACACAGATACAAGCCCTGCCAAATCTTGCTAATTACTGATCCTTGTTAAGAACCTCTCAATAGACTATCATCAGCTTCTTACCAATATCTAATGGATAACAGTCCTTCAACACAAGAGCTCTATGCTTCCCTAATAAAAGGTTACAATTATTTTCTATTCAATTTCACAAATATTACTGGACCCCAATTCTTACATATTAATCACTATTGCATGCTTAAATAGAGCAATTACTGAAACAAATAAAAATAAAGCACCTACTCCCTATCCCCATCAGCTCAAATTCTATTTTTTAGTTTATTTATAGAGACAAGACTGTGAATAAAATATAGATGTGATAGGGTGTTCAGTTCTAAAACAAAACAGGGATTAACAAGACAGCCTGTAGTTTTAGGCCTCACTAAGAAAGTAGGCCTAAAGTAAGTAGTGAGGCCAAAGTAGGCCTCACTAAGAAAGTGGAATTTTAAGGAAGACCTAAAGGAGGTACAGAGTGAGTGAAGTACTTATCTCCAGGAGAGCTATCCAGGCAGCAGCAACAACCAGCAAGGAGGCAGAATAGCTGAAAAGGAGTAGAGTGTGGGAAGCCCTAGGCGTGTCAGAGGGGTAACAGAAAACAGATGGTATTCAGCCTTCTGGACCGTGATTCTCAGTGACATGAGAAACCGCTACAACAGTACTCTCCAACAGAAATATAATGCAAGCCACAAATTTAATTTAAGCTTTCCTAGGAACCTCATTTTTAAAACAAAACAGGTAAAATTAATGTCAATAATATTTTATTTAACCTAATATATCCAAAATATTATTTCAACATGTAATCAACAATTTTGCCCATATTAAGAATTTGAAATCTGGTAGGAAAATACATTTTGAGCATATTACAATTTGGACAAATCACATTTCATGTGCTCAATATCTAAACATACTTAGCGGCTACTGCACCTGATAGTACATACTGGAAAGTTTTGAGCACAAGAGTGACATCATCTGAGCTACATCTTAAACAGATTTTTCTGGGCCTATTTTTTCACAAGTAAAATGAGACCACAACTTTCTGCCTCACAGGGTTTTTGCGATGAAACCCAGAAGCAAGTCTATGGCACATAATTAATCAATAATAACAGTTCTCTTTTCTTGCTAAATAGTGATGTATTAAAAACAAATTGTACTTTATAGGATTTTTAAGTATCATTCTGACAAGAAATTAGATAATTTATAATTTAATAATAATTTATAACTTTGAGCATTTATAGGCTACAAATTGTGTTATGCCAGCAAGAAACGAAACTAGTGGAAGAGACAATACTTGAAGATCCAACATAGTAAAGTTTTAGCAGTTGAAAACATAGGAAGTAAAATATGAACGTTTTCCAAGTAGTAAAATTTTACATAAGTCAAGGTATACTACACATAAAGTCTTTTTACCTTTTGCCAATGTCTTGTAATTTTTTAACAAATACTAAACTGGGCATGTCTAAAAAAAGCTATGACCAATATAGATAAAAATTAATAATGCTTTATAAAGTAAAATACTGTTAAGCAAAGGATATCAAAAACTTCTAGACACATTCACTTCTATTCGCAAATAGAGGATTTATACACAAATAAGAACTAATACCTTGATTCACTGTTATACACTTCACATACGATTCATGATGTATAAAACACATGTATACATCAAGGGTAGAGTCATAGGCTGTCTTACATTGCACAGTTGTCTCAATCACAATTCCTTAGTGTAAATTCAACTTAAATTCCAAATTGTAGATAGAATAAACTAGCAATAAGTCTTAAAACGTTTATTACTTTTTCCTCTACCCCATTTTGATAAACTAGGAAGGGAAGAAAGGAATATCTGCATAATAATGTTAATGAAATATTGTAACTGATAAAGCTCTGAAAACAACCTCAATGTGCAACAATCAGGAAATTGCTAAATTAACTATGGTTACTTTATAAAGTAGTACACTGACATTAAAATATGGTTCTGATCTGAGTAAACCCAGAAAATGTATGTCACATTCTCAGTGGAAAAAATGTATATTCACAATATGACTGCAGTAACATTTTTAAGTTAAACAGAAATGAGGGAAGGAACTATACCATAATGTAAATTAACAATAATATAAAGAACAACAAGCTCATGAATTTCCTTTTCTGTATTGCTCTGGAAAATGTGAAGAGTAAAACTAACCTGTGTTACTTTCATTACACCAGAAAATAAAGGAAATCACATGGATTTTAGTAATGGATAAATTATAAGAAAGTACAAATAGTTTCTTTATAAAAAATAAAAGTGTTGTCACTTAAATCTATAAACTAAAATCTAACTAGGAAATAAGAGTAAGTATTCAAATAAGAGGTAGAAAAATATGTACAGGAAGAAACCTTGGCCTATGAAATGAAGTGTAGAACCTAAGCTTAAGGCAATGTCTCTACCAGAACTTTCCACATTTTTAAACTTCCTTTTTTCTAAATTAAGTACTACTTGATAATTGTTTAAAAAAATCAGAAAACATACAGATAAAGGACATTATCGATACTAAAAATTAACTTGCCATCCAGAAGTGACTGTTCTTAGTAGTAACATACCTATATGTCACAAACACACACACATATGCTTCCACTCAGTCCCGTCTTTAAATGTTACCTATATATTGATGACTTCTAAATTTCTATATTGGGACCAGATCATTCAGTTTAGACATAAATTTAATTCCCTCAACAATTATAATTTGATAACTAAACTGACATCTCAAATTTCACATGCCCCAAACTGAATTCATCTTCACCACCAAACCTGCTCCTTCTGTGACTCCCCCCATGTACTAGTTATCTACTGCTTCATAACAAATTTATAGCTCTAGCTGGTAGATCTCATTGCCATGCAGCATGAATCTTTCCTTTGGGCTTATTGAGTAACCTCTCCACATGGCAGCTGTCTTCAAAGATCCTAAAAGTCAGTAAGCAGGAGGGACCGAAGTCTTTTATACCTCATGCTGAAGTCATACCACACTTCTAATTACAAGCAAGTTAACTAACTCAAGCCCACAGTCAAAGGAAAGTCAATTCTTTCCCATAAAAAGAAAAACATGAAATACTGTACACATTTAATGTCTCAGATAATGACAATTTCCTTCTAGATATTCAGGCCCTTGGAGTCTTTCATTCTCTATTTTATTCTCAATCTTCATCCATCTGTTAGGAAACCATGCTGGCTCTCTCTTAGATATCTAAAATCTAACCATTCCTTTCCAGTCTCGCTGTTTTTACCACACTATCACACTATTAAAGGACATATGTCCTTTTTCTTGAATCACTGAAATAACTTCCTGCTTCTACCTTTCCCTCTTCGCTCCATTCTTCACACGGCAATGTAATCCTTTAAAAATCTGAGTCAGATTATGTCACTGTCTCTACCTGCACACTTGATTTCCCTGTTTTTTTCATACCACTTCACCTAACATTGTGTGTATTAACTAAATGCCTTTACTGTTTATCATTTGTCTCTGTACTAAATGTATAGTCCATTGGAGCATAAGTCTTGATCTGTTTCCTTCACAATGTACCCCAAGCCTCCAAGAGTTTAATGAATATACTGAATTAACACACACAGCTTTAAAAACTGAAATAAAGTGAAACCCCTTTTCAGTTAATAAATAGGAAGTTTTTCACATTTTATTTTAAAAACAATAAAAACGACACAGAATTTCAAAACAATACAAAATTAACATTAGTCAATTACGGCATATTGTTATCTTCGAAGTAGCTGCTCAGATTATAAGATTTAGGCGTGAAAACGGTTAAGTAATAGATGACTATGATTCAACCACAATTTACACAAACAACTTCCATTCACATAGTTACAAGCTTTTCTCTATTACCGATGCTGGCATATATATTTATTACATGACATTTCCGTGGGAAATATTCTAGAAATAAAACTTCTGGTAAAAGTACATGTTCATTTTAAAGACAGATGTATTACCCAGCTCCCACCAACAATACATGAGAAAACCCATTTCTTCACAACTTCACTAGGACAGATTGTTAATGAATCTGATTCACACATATATGCGGGTCTGTCATTCATGTGCTTGAAATTTCTACATCTGCGTAAAAGGGATGATAATAGAAATCGCCTCACTGGCCTGTTGTTAGTATTAAAGATCATGCACAAGCGATGCACTTAGCACACTACACACAATAACCATCCAATAAAATATTAAATGTATCTTTTCTACAATTACTCTGCCTCTAAAGAAATCAACTGCAAAGTGCCCTGAACAATGTTACTGGAACATCTGCCTATTGATTACTTACAGCATTTTTTAAAATTCAAATTTTCCCGCGAAGCGTATGTTTAATCTTGAGCATGGAATTTAAAATATGTCTAATTAGAGTGCATATAACTGGGAAGACAACTGTTGTATCATCCTGATCCTTACTTCCGCTTTCTTTGGGACAGCGGCAAACATAAACATTCCCAGCGCTAAGAGAACAGACCCAAGGAAAACTGGTAAACTTTGCCAAGAGAATTTAGCTACAGGTCTCTGCTGCTCATTCTGGCCCTCACCGCCTATTCGTAAGGCTGGGGCAGGAAGTAAAAATAAGAATTCACTTCCAGACGCCTTGCTCGTGAGCTGCCGCTTTGAAATGAACAATGACAACTTCCTTAAAGCATCACTGGAAAACACGGTGACACGCAGCGCAGGCTCCCTCCTTCCTTTGACGTGTTCACCGAGCGCAGCTCCCCGCCCCCAAAACACACCCCACCCCCGCCCGCCTGACACCTCGGCCCCGCCCGGCCTCGGGTCGCACGCCCCGTCCCCGCGCGGGCGCGGGCCCGGCGTCCATCAGCAACGCTCCGCGATCCAGCCCGTGGGTTCCGAGGGGGAGCGCTTCGCTGGCTTCAATCCGAACCCGTGCCAGACCCATAACTCGAGAGGCCACACGCGCGCACACACGCACACAAGCGGCCCGCCCATCTCCCCGTCCAGCCTGAGGCAAGCCGGGCCCGGACGCGAGGGCCGCCCCGCCGCGCCTCCACCGCCCACCCGCGCCCCGCGCGCCCGCGGACCCACCGAGCTCCTCCAGCCCCGCCGCCTTGGCCGCCGCGGGCGCCGCTTCCATCGCTCGGGGGTCTCCAGGACGCCGCCGTGGCGGTGCCCGCTCTCCCGCCGCCGCTGCGTGGCCGGCCTCAGACCCAGGCAGCCCCAGCCCGAGGGACCCGCGCCGGACGCCGGCTCCGTCTCAGGCCGGGCGCTCCCCACCCCCGCGCCAAGAGCATGCGCAGTGGGACGGACGAAGGGCCGGGCCAGCGCAGGGGCGCCAGGGCCCCCTCTGCCGATCCGGAGGGGAGGGAGGGGCCGAGGATCCGAGGACGGGGGCCGTGTTGGGAAAACCGCCGAACGCCCAGGGGAGAGGCGCGTCTGAGGCGTAACTCAGGGTGGGAGGTCAGAGCTGGCACAGAATAGGCCCGCAGCTCCTGGGACCCTTGAAAGGTGACCTCTTGAATGTGCGGTGACCTTCTGTTTGCAGAGTCAGCACTCTGTTGAGCAACCTTGGGAGAAGGCAAAGTAGTCTTTGCCCCTCAACCCATGTTGGGGTTCTGACCTCTCTTCCGTTATCCTTGTGCTTAGGCTCCTATTTAGATTCCTTCCAATAGAACTTCATCTAATTACACACAGCTTGGCTTTATGAAGGATCTTTCCAAGCCCAAAATATCTGACGTTAACCATGGTGCTGAAAGAAAATGCTAATATTAGTGTGAAACACTGTAAGCCTATGCATACATGCATACCTTATTTAAATACTATGACAACAGTGTGAAAATGTAATATTTATACCCATTTTACAGAGGCAGAAACCATCCAGGGCACACAGAGTTAAGTAACTGGGCTGCAGATGGTGAGCAATTAAATGGCAGAGGTGGAATTCTCTATACCACCAAGATGTACTGCTGGTCTCGCAGGTGGGTACCCATAAATATAGAGAAATCAACGGATGAAGCATATTTTTGATCGTAAAGAAAATACTCATTATAATTTTGAAATTAAATCAGAACATTAGGCAACTTTTTTTATATTTGTCTGTTTCGTTCCGTAAAGTCATTTTATAAGAAGTGTGCGTGTGTGGGTGTGGGTGTGGGTGTGTTTTAAGTGAAAGTGGGATCTGATATTTAGGACCACGGATGTAACTACTTGGTAGTATGCTAAATATTCTAACTCCTTAGAGTAAACATGAATACAGCTACATCATACCTACATTTTTACTGCTGTTGCACAGGCTTTCACTAGACCACTAGTAACATTGATGGTTTGCCAAAATCCTCTGCCCCCTGAAACCAGCCCCAGTCATTTCACATACACGCACAGATGAGTCCTAAAAGGAAATTTCCCTTGAAACATTCCTAACAAATAATAAAGATGTGCGAGTGATAGAGAAAAAAGAGGTCTGTCCTGGAGCATAAATAGAGCAATAATCTGCAACACATGGGTAACCTGGTTAAAGATTAACGACAAGAAGGAAGATAAACATCCAAAAGTGATAGCTTGTCTGTCATTGCCCACTAATCACCTATTAGTCCTTTGTAATGAGAACAGTGTTTCATAGAGGAACATTATCATTTGAATGTTAAAAAGGATTCAAAAACTGTTTCCCCCTAACCTCAGCACGGAGGAAAACAAATCCAGTAATATGGGAGGGAAAAGTCTGACCGTAGTACAGCCCGGGGCTTCCCTGAAGAAGCTGCACTGACACCTTCAGCCAGCCTCAGTGTCTGTACAGAGTATTATGGGGTGACTATGAGATTCAAGAAAACTACATTGTTTACACATCTAACTATTTAATGAGCATATTTGCTATGACTTGTGTTCCACATCTTATAAATTAAAAGGGAGTCCCTGTCTCCAATCTGAGAAGCGTATTTTCCCAAGACTCAAATAGATGCCTGAAATGGAATAATACTAACATTTATATATTCTGGGGTTTTTTTCCTATGAATACATACCTAAAATAAAATTTAATTTATAAAGTTGGCATAGTAAGAGGAAAAAAAAACAATAAAATATAACAAGTACAGCAATAAACTACAATAAAATATATATAAATGTTTTCTCTGTCTCTCAAAATACGGAATTGTACACCCTTCCTCTTGTGAAAATATGTGATGACACAGTGCCAACAGTGTGAAATGAAGGGAAGGAAGGACACTGTGACTTGGGGTTGAGCTTTTCCCTAAGGATGACTTGAACACAAGCACTTGTTAGCATGACAGATCTGATAACCAGATAGCTATTAAGAGACTAGGGAATGGGTAAGTTCAAAATACAGTATGAGTGCACTGGACAAAAGAGTGATTCACGTGCCAGGCAGGAAGGTGTGGGATGGTGCAAGATTTTATTGCAGTACTCAGAACATGACTTGCAACTTAAAACTTATGAATGTTTATTTCTGGAATTTTCCACTTAATATTTTCAGACCGTGGTCAACTGGAAGTAACTGAAACCACAGCAAAATCAGCAGTAAAGAAGGAATACTGTAAAATAGTACTGATTTCTTACGTCTTACACTGATTTCTTATACCTTACCAGTTACTATTATTTCTGTAGTAAGGATTATTTTGCCTTGATCTGCATTAAATTGACAGTGTAGGTATTTCATGAACCTAAAGAATTAAATGTTTGGTATATAGGCATGGAGATCATTTCTCCATCACTGTTCTCGACCCCATCAAACCATTATGTAGGAGAAAGTCTAGTTAATTCTAATAATTCTAATCATTCTAACTATTCTAGACAATCAGAGTTCCTGTAGCTGCTTTTTGTTCTACTTGAAAGTACTCTGGAAAACTTCAGATAAATAAGATTATGTAAACGGGGAAGAGATAAGCAATACTGAATGGGATAAAGCTGTTTTAGAATACAGACATTATAAATAGCCTGATAATTTGAACCCTGGAAATTTCTTTCTTTTCATGACTTTAATTTCCTGAACCGTGTCTTAATTAGCTTTCCTTTTCAACTACAGCACTTTGTTCATGTCTCTGTTATAACACTTCAACTCCTCATGCTGTAATTATTTCTCTGCCTGAACCTTATGCCGTACTGTGAGGTGCTGCAGAAGAGACTATGTCTCATTTATCTTCATCTCAAAAGTCCCAGCACAGTTTCCTGCATGAACTAGTTAATAAATAAGCGTTGAAAATTGTTGAGCACAGCCTCATAGATACATAGGAGGAAACATTCAGAAGTCTTTAATTTATTCAAGCACATTTACCTTCCTCCAGTTAGATGCCAGGGCTATAATGGTGAAAAATAATGAAAGTCCCCTGCCATCACAGAGTTCATCATAGAATGACGTATAGGAATAAACAGAAAGTTAAGTAAAATATTGCATGTCTAATTATAATTGTCAATGAGGAAAATTACAGTATTGGGAGCCTACTTCAATTGAGTAACATTAGAACAGTCTTCTCTGAGAACTGATTTATGCTGACACCTCACAGTGAGAAGAAATTGACAACCACATGTCTAAGAAGAGGAGCATTTCCAGGCAGCGGGAATAGCCTGTTCCATTTTACAGATGGAAAAGTGGTTCTGTTTTGGATTGATTTGAAACACTTATGTAACATCTTGATAGAGCTGTTTACTATATAGTAGTTGAGTCACTAAATTTTCCTCTTACATCAAATAAGATTACCAACATTATAGGTTGTTGTGATCTCTTAATGAAATGTAATAACATGTTGCCTGAGTCATTAGGAAACATAGAATAAACTTAGGTAGGGATGTTTTATTATTGCAACAGAGAGCCAAAAATTAACTTAAGCTGAAAGCGAAACTTAATGCAGATATTGAGGTCCTTGGGGGAGAGACGAGTCTCTGCTCAGAAATAAATGATTCCCATGCCTGTGAGACTATGTTTCTTTGCCCAGTGATTGCTTTTCTCTGTGTATCAGTGCAGGTTTTCACTATTGAACTCCTCTGCTTTTTCTCATTCATCTTATAAAAAGTATTCCCTAAAAGCCTTGATGTCTATTCTTACAGTTTACATGTCCAGAAAAATACTAGTCTTTTTCCTCCAGTTCCAACTATAAAATTTTTAAGAAAAAATGCTAACTAAATCATTCTGGGCCTGTGGACTGAGTGATGGGCAGAGGATGTGTTGTGGTGTGTCATGGAACCATGTGTGGTTGCAGTGTGGGGAAGGAAGGCTTCTCAAAGGGGCATCTATTCTGACTCCCCTCTATGAAAAGTCTTACCCACTGTGTATCTTAATAAGGCTCTTTTACTCTCTTACGTTTTCAGTGGAAATGCTGACAAGCTTCTATCTCCTAATTAACGTCTATCTCAATGACTTCCCTATTCTGTTGATGAACCAGCATTGTACTCTTAAAAGATTCTGCATAGGGGTGATTGTTACTGACAACTGTACTATTATTACCAGTAATTTTGTATTATTTAACTCATTATGACTAATTTAGCAGACTGGAAAAATGGAAAACTAAGTGCCTGGGGAAAGAAAATTGATCCAGGTAGCAGAAGTTAAACTTTTTAAAAAAACCTCCATAATATTCCTAAAGATTTTTTTGAGGTGTCTGCATTTGATCCCACTACCTGCATATGCTAGCCAGGTACTGTGTCTCTGAGCT